CTTCCGTGTTCAATCTCCTGGGAGGGAGGTGACCCCTGGGTGGGAGGTGTCGCTGTTGATTTCAGGTGCTGGAGGCGACCCCGCAGTGTTGCTGTTGGCATCACTGAGTGGGACCCTTTTGTGGGTGGAGGCAGGCTCCCAGGGAACCTGGATGCCAGGCCGTCACACCCTCCTCCCTGCACCTGTAACACTGCCTCCTGGGTGGGGAGGTGTAGCTGTTGATTTCAGGCGTTGGCGGCGACCATGTAGCGTTGGCGTTGGCGTCACTGAGTGTGACCATTGTGGGTGGAGGCGGGCTCCCAAGGCAACCTGGATGCCAGGCCGTCACACCCCTTCTTCCTGCATCTGGCACACTGCCACTCAAATGGGAGTCCTGCTCTCTTCCGTCCTGAGAGGCACCTTCCTTGATGGGGCAGCTGCTTGTGCTATTTCCTGCGCAGTAGCCGCAGGTGGCTGCTTGTGACAGTTTTCGCCACATGATTGACCCCAAAGCAGTTGTAGCACACCACAGGGGGAGAATCCACCGACTGATGTTACTAGGGGTACCGTACGTGCTGCCAAAAAGCTGTACTTCTCAGGAGGTGGTTCCTTCCTTTTCAAACAATGATGATCCTACTAAGTTGTGCACCATCCTTATAGAGCCTTCTTGCACTGTGGACGCCCTGGGTGACAGAGCTCTTGGGGAATACCCTTGAGGATTGGGTGACAAGGTATTCCTTCATTTTTTGAGGGTCGAACAGGTTCATCTCGCTTAATAAGCTGTATTGAGCCGACCTTACCATCAATGAAGCGTTGGATAGCTTCTGTCTCCTCTCGGCCTACATAGACAAAACGAGGGGTGTTACCTGGCACGACAACATTCAGCTTAGCCATGCCATAATCCTTATTCAGGGCAGTCAACCAATTAATCTTCATCAAATTGGTTGCGTTCTCCGGGAAGAGCAAGGCACATGTACTTAGCCGGGGAGCAATGGGAGGGGGATGCCCTATTGGCTCTCCTCTGCTTCCTTCCCTGGGTCCTCATCTTGTGTTTCTGCTGACGTGTCTGAAACTTCTGAAAGCCAGCTTCAGTGTCGCTATGACTGTCCTCTTCATCTTCTTCATCAGGACATAGGCAGAGCGCCGCCCAGCGATGACTCCTGCCATGGTTAGATTTAAGATGGAATCTAGGTCATATACACTGGGGCACAGAGGCGACATGTAGGCCAGCGATGTCCTGAGGCGTAAACCCTCTTATAGGACAAGGAGAGGGAGCCTGACATCAACGGTGGAGGGGTAGGAGGGCCTCCTGGGAGCGGAGGAGGTGGTGTCGGGGGACTAAGGTAACAGGAGTATTCTCAGTTTATAAGCACTTTTATTACACTTCACTTGTTCTTAAATAACTCTGTTTTCTGACGGCACAACACCTCAGACCATCCTCACTTGGTTCGTCGAGACCCTACATTAAGTGTCCGTTACTATGGTGGGGTTGGGGGCGACCGCATGGGCAGCACTCTCGGCCCCATAGGGGCGATAGTCTCAGGACCACCCTGTCAAAGCAGGCCTAACGACACTGACCTTGAGCCTCCTCATTATCCCACCACTGACCCAGCACGGGTCACCACTCCACTAGAGAACGCCGGTGAACACACGGAATATTTACAATTTATGCCGTAGGGATGAGGAGAAACCTTGCGTGGCATTCCGTTGACGCAGTGGTCCGCCTCGGGAAGGTCAGGGCAGCTTCCTCACTTGGCGCTTTATCAGAAAATGTTGAACTGTGTTGGTAACAGCTCGTTTTCCTGCCTCAAGCCGCTTGTATGTTTGCTATGATATTTTTCCCTACCACGGACGACCTGAACCCGCCCATTGGATTGAGTGTGTAGAGTCACTGTAGTGAGTCACTTGGAGTCGTAATCCTCTCTCGTTGCTGATACTATGCTCTTACTGCCCCGGGACCGTCACGCCTGCTTCTTACATTTTTTTATTTATTTATTTTTTTCAGAACATGCTTCATATTGGTTGTCTGTGTGGGCTTTAATTGTGAGGTTTTTCGTGTCAGAGCAGCACGGAGAGTTGTTGACTCTTCCTTCCACTTCTTCGTTCTTGGATTCCTCTCTAGTTCGCCCTGCGTGTACACACATAGTTCCTTGATTAATTTAGCTCTGCCTCGATAAGCCTTGTTTATTTGTTGTCTGTTTTCCTAATAAACGATTACAATGACTCGTATTTGGTGGAGTTTTTTCGTTTATTTGGTTCAATTTCCTTCCTTCCTTCCTTCCTTCCTTCCTTCCTTCCTTCCTTCCTTCCATCAGTCTATTTGTATCAGCGTTGTTGTCTAAGATCTGTACTGGCCTTACTGTTTGAAATATATTTTTTTGTACTGAAGTCACTTATAATATTGCTCGTGTTTAGTGTGGTTGAAGGTTAACTTAGACTAAGACTTTAGTTTCATCTTTGACCTTCACCACTTGTCACTCTGATCCCGAATCAATACTTGAGTATAATTAGTTCGTGAGCACTGATATTACCCAACTGTTGCTTACCTGAATAAAATTCCTGTGTTGTCGGGTGAGTGTTAGGCCCATTCTCACTTGAGTTTTATTTGTTGACAATTTTAGATAATTCGAAATATTTGTCTCTCAGTGTTCATTTAGTTCCCAGGTTCCACAGCCGCCTATGTGTATCTAAGCCTCAACTCTCGACTCTCGTGTTGAAAATTACAATCTCCCGCCACAGGTACAGTTTATCGTCTGGTTGAATGTGTCTTATAAAAGCTCTCTACAGCCTCTCACTGACGCCAGACGCTCCTGTAATACACCTGATTGACTCCTGAACGATCGTCATCTCCTCATAGTTGACCTTTGATGGATCACCTGGGGATTAGACACCACAGCTTATTTCACCAGATGGTTAAACACTCTAGCGCTACGTGGTGGATTTAGATTAGGTTAAGTGGGCGTTAGGGTGTTGAATCATCAGGTGAAACAAGGTGTCTAATATTCAGGTGATCCCATTTAAATTTATCAAGGTGAACCTTCACCACCTTTGTCAAACAGGTGTGTATATTGAACAATCATGTACAGGGTATATAACCATGATGTAAACTATAGATACTGTAGACCTATATCACTAACCCCAATCTAATTTAAGTTTAGTTCCTTTGTTATGGTAATAAACGAAAACTTACACGAAAGATTTTTTTTCTCTAGGACCTAACTATGTTAATTTATCGCAACAAAAGGGCAGATATTATCTCTTGGCTAAAAACATCACCCAGGAGAGAGCTCGTGCGTGAGGCTGCTCATGCTGGAAACTTTTCCTTAGACAGTGTGTGTGTAATAATAATAATAATAATTAACGGTTTATTGAAAGAGCTTGGCAGCCAGAAGGCTGAAAATATACAGTTACATATTTGGGGAATGGGTTACGAATTACAAATAATATACAAGTGACATAAGTGACACAAATAAGACATATAGTAACTTAGATGGGGATCAGCTCAAAATACAGTTCATTTCAACATAGTGACAGTGTAGGGAGCAGTGTTTACTGGGAGTGAATACACTGATTTATTACATGTTATTGATAATTTTTACAATGGTTGGGACTGGGCTGTTCTTATAGCGACAGTTCGTGCACGTATGGGCTGGATGCGGTTGTGGTGTCGAACAGCAATTCTCGGACAGGGGATCTCAGGTGGTAGTAGGGCCGGTGTCGGGATGGTGTAGAAGCTTCTTACCAAATTTGCAGATGAGGTCGTGGTGATGGTCAGTGAGAGTCGAAAGGGTCAGTGTGTTGAGCGCTTCTTGATATGTGGAGTAGGAAGGGAGAGAATAATCTTGCATGCCCTCTTTTGCACTTTTTCTAGGTGTTTACGTTGTGTGTGTGTGTGTGTGTGTGTGTG